GAGCTGTTTGTATACCATCGAGTTGCGTCGAGAACATTTTAATAAATTCGCCTGCTTAACCGGTAGTTAAAAACGACTAATGTAACCGAACTGGAACCCCTGAGCAGTATTCAGGTCCTAGCATACAAACTGGAACTTACTGAAGCATCGGTGATTGTCAGTGTAGAACGAAATGATCAATTTTAGAGTATAATACTGTCAGTTATTTTCAGTGTATATCCTGACAAAACCCATCAGGTCACGAGTCCTGACCAAGATTCTCTCAATCAATAGGTTCATATTAATTGGACCTAATTCTGTTGCATTCAATATGTTTAGTTATGAAAACAATTCCTGCTTTGTTAGCGGGCGGCTTTCTTAAACTTACCGTATGCAAAGTGTCAGGTATTCAAGTTCACTACGAAAAAGCTATCTCAGATGAATACATTTAATCATGCCTAAAAGCACCATTGGCGGGGCAAGATCTCGTAGTGGATAGCGTAATAATAGTTCAATATTTAGCTGACGCTTAAGAATGATGATGTCTCATAGTGCGACATAAGCATTGTTCAACATGCCTCGGAAATACATGACTACCTTGTTAATACAGTATAAGTTAATAGGTATATATTTTAATGACTCCGTGCACCACTGATTCCGTTTAAGTAATAAAATATTCGTTTGGAAAAAAGTAAATATAGTATTCTGTTCTTTGCCGTACTGATCATCAAGTCGGTAGCGGGGCTCAGACTATAAAACACAAGGTCAGGGTTCAGCCAGCTGACATTTGGATTTATCATCGAAAGACCGTAGATTCTAGTTGCCGTCTGAAGAGCGTTTATTTTATCCGGCGTATAAACATGAGTTCCTCGCTATGCTAAGACAACAAGTAACTGCATGCTAAAGTGTCAACGCAGCTAACATCAAAACAATTAGAAATATACGCAGCATTGGTGTCCAAGCTTGTAGTACATAAACAGAGACGAGCATTTCACAACAAATTCCCTGAAACACGAACCACACATTCGGTACTATGTGGGGGAAGTGTGAGGAATATTAAATGACAGAATTACGCTTGCAACGCCAGTATGTTTTATAATTGATATTGTGAAAACAGATATACAACTTTTTATTTTCATCTAAAGTATAATTTTTTTACATTCCAAATTAAGCGACGGTACTCAAGTCTAAAATGTTAAAATAACTTACTCACTGGATAGCGCTGCACTGTTAATTGCGTAGAAATGAAACAAAACTTACAAACACAGAATCAAAAGCATCACGCATGAATAATATTTAACAGTTCGCTTTCTTTTTCTTTGCTAAGTTCGAAAAAATTAACAGACGATTTAAAAACAAGATTGCTGAATGGATGAATAGTGAAAGTTAAGGCATGAATATAAATTCATCGGCGAAGATGCTTAGGCAAACTTTGCAACCAAAAAACTTACAAATATAACATAAAAATTACTTACCATTTATCGCTGAATAGTCAACTGACTTGCAGCAGTCATTTAAAATTTTAAAATTCAACAATAAGGAAGAGAATTATACAGTAACATATCGTTCATAACTGATCCGCAGGTTTAGTATTATTTTTGGACTCGACAACTGTATGGCGGCGGGATCTTTGAAGGATCTTAAAAGTTTATTCATATTGTTATTTTTAAGGCGGCCTTGCCACTAAGTAGTTAATGATGACGGAAAACAGATCGAAAAACTCCTTACCGGTTCCTAAGTATTTGGAAACTTCCGGTCGTCCGTTGTTCGTGAAAAAGGTATGTGTTGTTTTGTTTGTTTTGCATCGATTGTTCTTACTGTTGACAAATGTTGTTTTTGCTCCGCTTTTCGTCAAAATCTTGTCACCTTAATAAATTTCTCTGTTTCTTTAAAATCAGTTGTTTGTGCGAGATAGACTTTATGAACTTGGAAATGCGAAAATTGTTATTTTATCCCTTCAAAACTAAGGTTGTAAGAATTGTGATGGTTTCGCGTAAGAAGGTGTGATCGTTTCGTTCGTTCGAAGAGAAAGTACGGTCAGTGCGAAGGTATTATTTGCCCCGAAAAAATCGTTGTTTCTTCTTAAGGTTGCTTAGCGGTTTTACTTTCTGCCGTCGGTTGTTTGTTAATTGAAGGAATGAAATGGTGTAGTTTTTCCTACGGCATTTTAAGAAATTTAGCTGCGAAAGATGTGGTTTTGCAAATCACTGCTTTATATTTGTCTCTTTTTATG